GTTTAGTGATGCATAGAACAAACTTGTTTTCCATTAATACGTACAGCCTGAAAGGAAATGTTAACTGTAGAAGAGAAGCATTATACCAAATGGCTTGAAATTAGACTACGAACAAATATATAAATATCTACTATTCTGACATACATGACTTCACGCATTCCTCATCGAGAATTCGGTACAAAACCTTTATTAAAGGCCCGAATGCTCCTTCATTGTTCCTTCCAGTTCGTCATAAATAGTGATGTTGTAATCTGTTTTAAAGTTAGATTAACTCCGCACCGGTAACTAATGCAACGTCGTTAAATAACCTGTGAACCAACTACCAAAAGCCGCGAGGAAACTTACATCGTAAAACTTTGCTGTGAGATCTTATGACTCGGTGGGGCTGTTCGGAGCGAAGCGAAACGACGAGAAAAATTGCTAAAACAACGAAAGACGGTAGAAGAGGGAGAAAAGAGAGATATGTGGAAGATGAAAGATGCATGAGACCTATGTGCTGAGGGCAGCAAAAGAAATCATGTTAAGAGATACAGAAAACGAATGATGTGTGGAGGATTCTAAATGAAGAAAGACATATGGAGGACAGTAAAGAATAAGAAGAAGAAAAAATGGAAGTCGAAAGACATGGAGAAATATTAAGGGAATGTTTCGGATTGGAGATTAGGGAAATGAAACAAGGAAGCTGACTGTTCTTAATGGGTGGGCCCTAACTATTTTCAAGGTCCACACCAAGCCCCTTACTGCTATCTGCAGTAAAGCAGAAACAAAAACATTAACTTGCCCGCAGCGTGCACGGCTTGCTTGGCGTTTTTGCGCTTTGTAAATCGAGGCGTCCGACGGACTGCACAGCATCTGCCGTCGTATGGAAATTTAATAATACTTTATTATTTACCTAGAACTTAACTTTAATGCATACCTCCTGAGACTTTATTTAAAATGCTAGTTGTCACGGTAACAAGATAAAACTGGGGCCGGTCACTGGCACGAGAAACGTCTAAATCAACGCTGCATTCAGTGATGCTGGTTTTTACGGAAATACGATAATACTGGGACCGGTTAGTGCGACAAGGATTGTTACCTTGCGATCAGTGACGGTTGGTGATCACGACAACACTAGGTTGAACAGGTTAGGCCGGGCGCAAACGGAGCCACTAGCCACAGCCACTTGTGGCCGCCCCAAGCTGCGGACTGTATTTTGTATGGAGTTTTAATAAACTCAGCGCAGACACGGCGTTCGTAGTGGCCCGACCGGGCCACTCGCTGGGGTAGTGGCCGTGTCTCGCTACATGTGGCTGCCTCCGACCACTGTTTATCCCGCGCAAACGTAGCCACTAGCGTCCGCCATAAAAACCCTAGCTCCCCACCCACTACCCTCAACACAGCTGGCAGGGCAGTCAGGTCAGTTGCTGTTCTGTAAGTCTTTCTGCAGGAGGTATGCTTTCTCTCATGATGGTATCTTGGCGTTTTAAACGATCTTGTAACAAGGACAATAATTCATTGAATGTTGTCAAACTCATTCGAAAATACTTAAAAAATTTATCTTCGTGCCTCGTTAGCTCCTCAAAAAGCGTAGCAAAATGGCCGTATTCCCTGCGAGTTCGCAATATTGGATGTATCCAAAAACGGCGCTGTCTTTGTCGTCGTTTACGTCGGCGTTGTCGTATTATTAGTATTGCGACCAATGCTTCCATATCGGAGTCCATTGTGCTACTGACGCGCGGTTGGGGAAAATGTCTGCATAAAGTGGCGACCACTAGTGGTCGTGTTTAGCCACTAGTGGCTCCGTTTGCGCCCGGCCTTATAGGAAATTTTTAAATTAATGCCGCTGTCGGTAGCGGTTTTGTTGTTAGGATAAGAACACGTTTGAGCGATTCAGAATACGAAACGTGTTTCAATTAAGGCTACATTGAATAACTGAGACCGATCAAACCTGAATGTAATATCTGAAATACCTACTGTCTTTGATGAAAGACTCTCGGGTTACAAGCCGCGTCAGGTGGCTGAATGGTGAATAAACCATATCTTATGCCAACGTTTCGAGAACAATCTCTGCTCACATCGTCAGGGCTGCTGGGTAACAAATCCGATTCTTTGTTGCGCCCTCGATGATGGGAAACTAAATCCCCAGTCTGTCACATGTTATTTTAGTTTACCATCATAAGAAGTTGCGAAATTTCTCGTCATGTAGTAAACCTATATAAAATTCCGCTCTTAATTTTTCGCTGGTTGTTACTAATTTATTCATATATTAATGTAGCGGCGGTTTTCACACATGGTTTTCATTCGGAAGGCTCTTGGTTCAAATCTCGGCTAGAAAGCCACCCATCGTGAGTTTCTTTGTACTTTTCTTCTGTGTCTCCGATTAAATGCTAGTATATTAGTTTGAAATAGGTCATGACTGCTTTGTCGCAAGGGATCTTTACATCGTCTTTCATACCTACAGCCTACAGTCACATCTTAAAACCTTTACAGTTGACTTTGCGTCGTTGCATATACGTATTACAATAAAATGGGAAGCTTCATTGCCGATGAGCGTTTCTATAAACAGACTTCGGATGGAGTCAGTGTCCGACTGGGCCGCTTCAGACGCGCACTTAAGCCGATTAAGAACGCCCGGTCCAGCGGGCAGAGACTTGGTTATACGGCATTAAGTGGGCCGCCAGCCGCGCGGTTTGTAGGATAAACAAGTTTAACCGGGTGTTCAGTGGTTCCAGTTCTCGATTGCTTAAAGTCGGTGGATGCAAACCGAGGATTAGTCTATCTTGCACGAATAGGGACATTCTTGAATGCCTGAATACTGAAGTTATTTATATGTTATTCAGTTATTTGTGCTCGTATGTTTATTACGTTATTTGACGATCTCTTATCAACTAAATAGAATCGAATTATATTATAATCTTTAATTAAATATTGAGATACACGTAGAAAGAAGCAGTTGTGGACCACTTTAAGGTACTAACTCAGCATGTACCGTTACAGACTGAGGAAAACAAAGATAACTTCCTCAAGAACATGGAATTTCCCTGTTTGCTGATTAAGGTAGACCTTATAGCCCAAGTTTAAATTACCTCAATGTCAGTTTCGTTATTGGCACTTGAATTCTTGAATTTAAATCTTGGTCACATGATCGGCTATGTTAGGGTATTTCGAGAGTTTCCTCAGTCCATCCAGCGAAGTAATGGGACATTGTCATGAACAGGTCACGGACAGTTATTTCCATATCATTTCCAATCATCTTACCACTGAACGCTTAATAACCAACGCAGCTAAAGTATCATCGTTAAATAATGATAGAATCAGTTGTAGTTAGGTGCAATTTGATATACAAGAATGTGGCATGTTGTCTTGCATTTTAAATTAGGAACTGAGTACCGCGTGCATATAAGTGGATTATAAAAAAGAATTAACCGGTTAATTGTGTTTGTCTTGGTAATTATGACCACACATTACACTCTGTACCAACTGCTATAAACCTAAAGCACCATTCATTAGCGATCGTTATTTAAGTACGGCGTATTATGGACACAGGTATATAGTTTCGAGTATCAATCAATTATTGTGTGGAATCTTGTTAATCCTGCATAGCCATCGACAATAGTGTGGTGAGACCAGTAATGTTTTAGCAGTCACTGCCACTGAGATAATAACATTCCGTTCCTCAGCAGAGCCCCTTGTTTTTCTGCGGTCGTTGACACACACACTGGGCATATTGCGTGCCTGTTCAAACTTTGTTTTGAATGGTAATCCACACAAGTTGTACTTGACTGAATGGTTGATTATTGGGTTATTTAACAATGATTTTCTAGTACCTGTTAGGTACAATTAACGTTCAATGTTAGGTCTAAGGTGATTATATGAATTATGTGTTGTTAATGGGTGTATAAAGAAGCGAGTGTGACTTATTTTAATGTATTATTTCGGCATTTGCCTGCTCGCACTGACGAATATGTCCGTATTGTTTATGATGTTATTTTAAGGTGTTATATGAACCGAGGAGTTTCTATTTCGTTTGAACTGTGTTTTAGTAAAGAGTATGACGAGTAAGAAAAGAGACGGCCGTAGGCTTGTTCTTTTACGCATCGCGTCTTCCAGCTGGATGTACATTGGGTTGTTAATCAGGTCGATAGATGGCAGGGAAATAGCACAGTTTAAATGGAAAGATATTGTTATTGCATGAATGACTTTTTCGGAAAAAGAAGTTTACGTACGCACATGAAATAACGTATGCCTACATAGGTACGTTCTGGATCCTACAAATTTCGTTAAAAACGTTTTTCTTTCATATGGTTATACACCCAAAAATGTACTTAGTCTCTTAAGTCATGCCTGTCTTAAATGAAGGGCAAATTAAAGTATTTAAAACTCGTACATGTTAATTCTTGTAAAATATGAGTGCGTAAATCGTGTTTACTCTAAAGCTGTAAACGAATTACATGTGTATAGGTTTACTAGTCTCATAAGCAAAGTTGCCTGTGAAACTAATTAATCTTATACACGTTAATAATTGTGTGATGTAAGTACCATATATTTTGTTTCATAAAAATCTGGTAAAATACTCAAACTGCATAGATATAGGAGCTTAAGTAAGAATCAAACTAAATTTGTATCTTCCCCTCAAAATTTAGTGTACGTTTAGGACTTACCATACCGGATTTTATCGAAAGGGGCAAGTACTTTTGAATCTGTTAACCGTTTTCGACAGAAACTATTAACAAATAAGTGATTTTTTTCCGAAACCCACCTAAAATCAATGTTGTTATTTTAGTCTGCAGGTTTTGCAAACACGTGTGGTTTTGCTGCAAAGTTAATAAAATGTAGCTATAACCACAACTTAGCAGTTTAAATAATTTATTACTTGAAAATTCTTCCAAGCGGCATATCTGTTCCCTTAAGATCTTAGATATGATTGCCACCCCCTCCCCTCTTGACTGGTTTTTGTACCCACGTGACCAGTGTCTTATGCAGTGAATCAGGAGGTCTGTCTCGTTTGTGTTAGGATAACTTTTCAATGTAATTGAATAGTTCATTCTGCGAAGCAATAAATCAGTATAAACCTGCATATTTTGTGATTATAAATAACAACTTAAAGGATTTTTAATGTGCTTAGGAGCTGAACATTTTCAAGAATACAAGCGAGTGAATAATTTTAGCTTTGTGTATCGGCTTTCATAGTGGTTGTAGTTTGCCTACACGCCGATACTAGCTTCTTGCGTGTGCGTGAGGCCTTGAAAATGTCGTTGTTTGCTTAGGCTTACAAATTGATTGTGAAAGTGATGAGTGGTTTGTATAATCAAGTAAAGAAATAACATCAATTAGATGTTATTGAGAAAAGTGTTATCCATTGCGATAATTCAGTGAACAATTCTTCTAAGTTGTCATCATTTTACATTAACGTCTAAAAAGACTGTTTTGACTCGCACTCTGGATCACTAACGAGCATTCTACTTCAGCTGGATTACGTTCTTGGCATTTTTACTAGAAAGGTACGTACAACTTCACTTTCTTAAAATCATACGAACCCTTTGATATTTGCTTGATTAATTTGTTGAGATTTTGTTAAAATTATAGTAATTAATGTTCGAAATATGTTGTCCTTGAAATTGTAAAGCATAGAAGCGTGCGTGGTACATTTACGATCCAATTCTAAAGGGTTTTGACGACGGTAGTTCACACTTAAAATTATTCATTGTCAGGACTTTTTCCATCGTATGTTCTTTAAAACCACGACGTTTCGGAGGCTGGTTCTGTCCAGTGACAGAGACTAGCTCTACCTAAGGGACCCAACAGAGTAGGTACCTCGCACCTGAAGGCGGAGACAGAACCAGCCTCCGAAACGTCATGGTTTTAAAGAACAGACGATAGAAAAAGTCCTCACAATGAATAATTTTAAGTACATTTACGATGTTTGAAAAATTTGATCCATATTTAAACTAGGTTAAGCATACGTAATGTTGTAATCGTTCACCCATTAAGAGATATATTTAAAACTCATTTCGATTAAAAGTACCTTGGATTAATAGATTTGTATGTCGAAACTAAAATTTGGTTTTCTTACGTATTTTGTAAATTAAGTGCTCCACAAGCTTATCAAACTGCGGGCTTATAATTTATTACCATAAAAATTATTACAAAAATATTATTTTACCTAACAATTTAGTCATTAATCAAAATATGAACAGTTTTTTGGTAAATATGTAACAGTTTCAGTGTGCCTCTTGAGTCTAAAAAATGAGAATGTGGCTCCAGATCTGGAAAAGTGTTGAACACCCCTGCTCTATGGTATAGCGGCGGGATGCTTGTGTATAGTTCCGAAACCTGGAATGCATGGAGATTTTTCTGTCCCTATACACCGTCATGGTATGGCACTTACGCAAAGGGACAATGTGTTTTTTTGTTTTCTTTGTCACATTAACTGGGTACAGCGGACAGGGCCTCTTCTGCAAAATGCGTAAAATGGGTACGGTTTTGTTGTTCATGCATGGCTACGCTTTACATATTCATAGCACTTGCTGTGGCATTTGAGGATTGCTAGTGACTTCGGGTCAGAGAAGTAATCCTATTGGCGCCTTCTAGCCACCCCTCCCTCGCGTACTGTGCCAACTCAACCCCCCCCTTCCTCCGCGATGCAGGCTACAAAAACTCGCGGGACGTAGTTTAATCTGCAAAGAAAACACTGACATTGCTTCTCTGTAGATTCCCGTTGTGTAGCTCTGGTTATCTACTGCAGACCAAAATAGCCGCATGCGCCATATAATATAGAATACGATCATCTGTCTTTGGCAAAGAAAACTTTGTAATGCGTTGGCGATGTTCTTGCTGCTGAAGCTTGCACCAATATGAACGCATAGATCGCCAGACTTTTTCTATAATTGGCTTGTTATTTATGATAGCTAGTTGCCCCTTAAAACATTTAACGATTTTATGTACTCACATATTATCATAAACGTGAAAAAATAATTAAAGCGCGATATCGCACATGTTTACATATACTACATAAATTTTACGTGTTCTCGTATATGAGTGTAATATTTAATATCTCACCGTGAGGTAAGAAATGGATTAAGGATGTTTAGAAACAAAACAAAGTCAGATGAAGAAATAAAAGAAAGTTACAGACTTAAAGCGAGATTTATAATTTGTATAATTTTGCTAATATTCAAAATATTTAAACCATTTAAACCTTAAATTTGCTAATATTGTTAGTAAGGTTACAAAAATTATATGAGGATAGCAGGGCATGCAACACACAGAGAGCACATGAAAATTACGTAGGCGTACAATAAAAGGTGTGAATATTAAGTTCCTGGAATGCCCGCATATGTCGCATCGAGAAGTGAGTGAGTAATAACTAAGCAGTGACGTGTTACGACCTGTCCTTGGTTGGTAAAACAAATAAGGCAGTAGCAGCGAAGCGGTGGCAGAGTTACACAAGAATCAGTTTTCGTCCCGGCGAAAAAATAAGTGATCGGTTTTTAGCGCGACGCATTAACACCACGTTTTGTACAAGGGAAGACAAAAGCTGGAATGGAACCCTACAGATGTTAACAGTGGCTTGTGGTGCTGACGCTTTGGAAAGGTTGAGAGTCTTGGAGTGGCATAAAAGTGGTTTGGGAAGATGTGAAGACAATGCTCATTTGTCTTTTTGATCACTTTGTCCACTTTGAGTCTGTTTAACAAGGTCGAACAGTGAACCAGCGTTTTCATTTGGAAATAATAGCAAGGTTACTTGTGGCTGTTTGTCGAAGACTTTGGCCTGAGAATTTACAACTTTTGGACACTGCAATGGAGTCAGATGTGTACGCCTGCTAGGTACTAAATATGTCTTCCAAGGAACGGATCGCGGTTCTTGGATGGGGCGCACCTGACTGATACGCTTCAAATTATGATTGATGGCCACACACATGGCTTCACTCGGCATGTATTGATCCCATATACTATCCCCACAGCGCAATTAATCTCCATGACGATAATGCTTTTTGATAGGGAAGGTTATTCACGCCTTGGGCCTCGTTTTGTCGATTCCCCCGCTGTGACATCAATTTAGGAGTAAACATCGCTTGCAGTCGCCTCGTTACATTGCCGATCTGTTTCGTGATCAGCGATAGCTAGTCGGTATGGTGACTGGCTGCGGGATGAATTAACGGTGTTCGATTCCTGGCACAGGCAAGAATTCTTAGAACCGACACAAAATTTAATCGAATATAATACGTAGTTTAAAGGATGATGGCGGTAGGGACCACTCCAGTACACTTTATTCTGTGCAAGTTCTTAATTCTAACAGTGAATAATATGGACGTTGAAACAAATATCCCTGTGCCCGAGCACCGCGTCGTAAGACGTGTGGAGCTTCAAGGAGACTTAATCTCGGTCCTAAGCAGAGGAGATGAGACATTCTGGCTTTGGCCTTGTTGCCGCCGTGTCCATAGAACTGTAGAACAAATGGGCGGCAGATTTTTTCTAGACATGGAACGATAAGGTCCTGATGAAATGTGAGTGCATCAGTTCATGACGTATGCAATTCATTACTGTTACTGTCTTATGTCTAGTTGGTATTAATTTTTAAGTTATCTACTTTAGGTTATATGATTTTGTGATCTTATGAGTTGTTTTATTTTGAGTGTGGTGTGTTGTTGTGTCTTATGTTTTTTTGAATCTTATTGTTTTGTTCTGTCTCATTGTTTTGTTGTGTCTTATTGTAGTACCACTGCCACCGGGTAAAAACCCATTTGCAGTTAATAATAAATAATAATAATAATAATAAGAAGAAGAAGAAGAAGAATCGAGTCCATCACTTTGCTGACTAAACTGTGAGGACCGGAACTACACCCCCGTTGTGCTTTCGTTTTATAAATAATAATCTAGTCATTAAAACGGCTCAGAACATTAACTGATATTAATCGCCGTTGGTTGTGTTTCTTGTAAATTTTCAGGGTGAACAGACAAAGACTCGTTAGGGCCTCGGAATATCGGGAGGCGCTGGAACGTGCTGCCTTTGAACGTTCCGTTTTTGAAGTGGGAGATGGCAGTTACCATTTGAATAGAGGGGGCTAGGCCCTCCACCGGCCGGTATTATAATTGATATCTATCTCACAGGGTGATTCGAAATATCAGGTTCATCTCTTCGGCAATGTTTTGTAGTTAAGTAAGAAAAAAACTTAACAGCTATCTTTCAGCTGCCTGTAGCACGCTAATAACTACAGGCTGTTCAGCGTATAATTTTGGCTTTCGGATGACTAGAATTTCAGACTATTCCATTCAAAACGCAACCCTAACTATAACAGTGCTTATAAGTTTAGATTAAATCGGTATAACAGAGGGTCGAATTGCTTTTTAGGTTTTATATGACCTTCACGCATTTGCGTAAGCGAAAAACTTTGTATGGATCCATCCGTCTGTCTGTCGGATTTCTTTCAACAGTGGGACGAACAGTCATACACGTATTGTTACAGTCAGTGACGTCACAATAGGACCGCTGATAAATTAGTGTAAGAACGACCTAAAGCTGTTGTTAAGAGACCTTCCGAAATAATGTCAAGAATAATGAGTGCAAGAATGGCATAACGTCAATAGGTAATTGAGATAACATTAATGCACCACGTTAGGCAACGGCCTACGAGAAATGACTTGAACAACTCCTTTGGATTGTCAGTGTACTCCAAATTGTAGACCTTTAGAACGGCTTTAGAGCAAATGCTGGAAATGTCCACTACTTTCTTGCAGACAAGCATCCACCCCTTTTAGTGCGTTTCGTGCGACTTTACTTTTCTGTGTCAGCGTTGGAAACATTCTTTTCAGTGTCGTGTGAATGTTTCAAAGCAACTGTTTTGTTCGTAGCCCCATCTTGTTGAAACCAGCTGTCCCGCTCGTCTGACAACATTGTCTGACGCCATACATGTTTCCTGTCGCAAACACTTCCTGTGTCACAAAATTTTGTTACTGTTCTGTATTGTTGTCTTGTTCGCTAACAGCAACAAAGGATTTCGATGCCAAGTAATGTTCCAGAATGAGCAGCGGAGCTTTGGCCCAAGCAGCTACCAAACATCAAGGGTGACCTTGACCCTAGTGTCACGGATGAGATTGGGAGAGAGTATATCATGGATGTAGACCTGCTTATAGTTTTATTTTTTTCATCGGAGGACGTGATTGTTGTTGGATTGCTCTTAAAACTTTACATTCGCCTTTCCTCCTCTTTTTCTTCCATATTTTCTCTATTCCTGTGTTTGTCGTGTTGTCATTCCTTCCACCCTTGTCACAGTTTCTTTTCCTCTCTCTATTTTATAGTTAAAACACGGTTTGTGGCCGTAGGTTCCAGTTCCTGCTTCTACATTAGCTTCATTGTGAGTCTGCACATGTCGATCTCCATCTTCGAATTTGGTTAACTTTCGTCAGTTTCAAACCGAATAATCAAAACTTTGTTTACTGCTGTCACAAGCACTGATTTATAGCATTGTCTGCAGTAACTCAACCCTATACCATACCCACT